TATATATATATATATATATATATATATATATACTAGTTGGCCTGCCAAACTTTGTTTGGCCATAAGAAATATTTTTATAATATTATTAGTATAATTAACTGATTGGGAATGCAAAAATGTGTGGTATTTAAGTGAAAGGGAAATGATATAAGCAGTCAATGAATGTATGTTAATTTTAATTACATGAAGTTCTTCAAACACAATTATTACATGTTGAGTGAAGTTGCGAAAACAATATTTGTTTAGGCTTGATAAATAAAACAAATATAAAAGTATGGCTTCAATTTTTTAGGCAAGACAGATATTACAGTTGCTCAAAGAATGAGATTATATCGCCAGCGAAAAATTAAAAAAAAATACAAGCAGTCAATGAATGTATGTTAATTTTAATTACATGAAGTTCTTCAAACACAATTATTGCATGATGAGTGCAGTTGCAAAAACAATATTGGTTTAGACGTTGTTTAACATAATCCACTGTGTGAACGAATATTATAGACTTTATTAATCAGCAATTACTTAATTTCTTTAACGAAGGTTTATTTCTAAATGCTAATTACAACGACAAACCAATCATGTCGTATTTGAAGTATGACTTTAATTAAATTATTGTTTCTATTGGTATATTATACCCAAATTACAACTTCCTGGTACTAATAGATTTAGCACACCAGGTCTCTTAAAATGGCCTTAGTAAATGTTAATTTGTTTATGACGTTGGTCTACTAAATTATTTCTAACTTTTAATACTTTAACAAATAAGTCTTGGGATTTTTTTAGCGTTTAAACAAGGCCTTAAGGTTTATTACACCAAAATTACAAGCCTTATCTCTTAATAGATTAAGTACAATAAGCCTTCAAAGTCAGCCTTTTAAATTTATACTATCACTCAAGCCTTTATACATTTTTGCTCTGCCATAAAACTTTACTCTATGTAGTTGCGTTATATAAGTGTTTATAACTTTTATAAGCAGTCAATGAATGTATGTTAATTTTAATTACATGAAGTTCTTCAAACACGATTATTACATGATGAGTGGAGTTGTGAAAACAATATTTGTTTAGGCGTTGTTTAACATATTATAGAATTTTTTAATCAGCAATTACTTCATTTCTCTAATGAAGGTTCAAGTTCTAAATGCTAATTACAATGACAAACCGATCATGTCATATTTGAAGTATGACTTCTATTACATTATTGTTTTTAAATATTATACATATTTTCAATGCTATTATAAATATATAATATATAATTTATCATTATGTAAATGTGTATAATGGTGGACACTATTAAATGTGTGCATCACGAGTGTTACCATCATATTACTAATAAACATTATTCAAAATTGTTATATGATGTATTTATTTTTAGAGACGTGTTGTTTAGTTTTTGACAAAGGCAGGTCTAGCCGTTTTGAAGATACGGGACAAAAAGTGCCAAAAATGCTAATTCAGTTCTTGACCGATTTGGATGATACTAAAAAACATTTTATTTGTATTGACAAGAACTGGTTGAATTTTTGGAAAGGCAGGTTTAGCGGGTTTGGAGATCAAGTGAAAAAGGTAAGACGGTCAAAAATGATGTTTAGACATACGCACATCAAATTATTAGATATTTTATAGAGATTTAACAACAAGTATAAATTTTGTTTACTTCCTGTGGGTTCCGTACCAATGTTTATCCGTTAGACGGCGACGCGGCGCTTACGCGCTTCTATATTTCGTATCTATGCAGTTAAAGCAATACGTTTGCTTTGAAAAAAAGTTCAGAATTTTCAAAAAATAAATCAAAATATAGAAAAAATCAAAATGTTAAAAATAAATCGATCTCATTGCTCTTAAAAATCTCTTTTTTTAAAGTTTTCACAAAATTTAGTTTTCGGTACGTAAAGTACCAGCAATTTGCCTTTAAAAACTGCAATGTTTGTACATTTAGCTCGGTATCTCCAAAACTACTAGAGCTGCCTTCGCCAAAAACTAATCACCTCTTCTCTCAACCATTACAAATTGAATGTTTTTAGATCATTCAAATCGGATACTCCGTTCTCTCAAAAACTCGATTTGTATTTTCTGCACTCTTTGCTCCGTATCTCCATAACGGCTGGACCTACCTTTGCCAAAAACTAATCAGCACATCTCCCTATCAATAGGGATCGAATGGTAAATGAACCATTCAATTCGGTGGATCCGTGCGCCCGAAAAAATGCGTACACACACACATCTATTTTTTCTGAGGTATGCCAAAATGTTCAGAAACCTTCAAAGCTTCGAGAAATGCAAAAATTTCATTTTCGATTTTCGGCTCATTACTATAACTACCCTACGGGAAGTTAACTAGGTCTTAAATGTAAAACTAGGTTAATATTTGCAAGCAGGTCTAAAATTTAGAACCCAAATCTAATATTTAGACTATGACTCAGAAAGATCTAAAATTTAGAATAATATCTAACAAGTAGAAAAATATTCAAAACAACTGTTTAGTTTTAATTATTTTAATTATCGATCATTTTTAATCCTAGAATATTTAATTACACACTTATTTCATTCAAATTGTTACTATAAATTAATACTAGAAATTCTCGGTTACATGTTTTATGTTATATTGCTACGAAAGTATAACACTTTATATGTTGCACTTATAAATAGAATATTTGAATTCGAACTAATGTTATTTCGTTGACAGTTTCCCGCTCTGACCATAGATAAAACTTCTTGACAGTTTCAGAAGTGCCAAAAAGAGACGCTTGGGGACCGTTGGCGCCACTTGCACACTCCGCAGTCGCACATCTTCGCACATATCTATGGTTAATGGCGGAAAGTGCCGCCAAAAAATTCATTCTTTCTTTTGGGACTTGCCGGGCGAGAACATTACATCATTACATCATTACATCGGAGCACGATAACAAGACGACGGAGCCCCTGCCAGGAGAGCACCCGATTATTCTGGTGAGTTGTACTTGTGCAAATTATATTACGTTTTCGAATTTACGATTCCATTTTGTGGTTAACAAGTGTCGTTGCGTGAAGCGTCGATAGTGACATTTATTACAAGTAATAGTGCACGATTTATTTCGGATTCGGATTCGGATTGAAATCATTCCTCGTGTCTTCATGTTTCGGGCGAGAATTTTTTCCAAAGTTTATTACTACAAAATCAGCGTTCAATAAAAAATGCCATTGCTTCATACTTACGCAATCCTATTTTTGGATCAGAAGAATTGACAAAGGGGTCCGTAGAGACACTATTTGAATACAATCACTACGTTTTCAAGAGTTTGAAGCAAAGATATTATGTAATCAAAATGCTTTTTATAGTTTAACTAACCATGTGCTTGATTTATCTCGGGTAATGTTACACAACTCGATCCATCACTCATCTTGTGCCCCAGCTGTATCTTGTCCAATAATTTCAATTATAATATGGAACTATTTAGTTGACTTAGTTGAGGTATACATTTGGAATCCTAGACGATTTTGTGAAACATAATTTAGTGTTTTTTGAAATTTAATTTTCAACTAACCTGTGCTCGATTTATGTCGAGTAATGTTACTCGAGTCAATCCATCACTCATCTTATCCGATAATTTTAAATATAATATGGAACTATTTAGTTGACTAAGCTGAGATTTATAATTTGAAATCTGGAAGACTTCATGGAACATAATTTAGAAAGTCAGCATTTTTTGTAAAGTTTTTACTTTTTATTAGACTTGGTTGCTTTATCATTTTTTTAAATTAAGTTTTATTTGTATTACTCGCCAATAGTTTAGTTATCATTGAACAGTACAATTTGTTCAAAGTTATATCAGAAGTTTTAATATTTCACAACTTAGGTTGTACCTGTGCAAGATTTCTCACTTGTGCTTGTTTCATACGAAGCATTTTATTTTTTTTTTTTATTAAGTATAAAAAAATAATTATTGATACAATTTTCATTTGATAATTTTGTATGTGCATTAATTAATGTTTTGGGATGGTTTTATTTAAAACTGATAATGAATTCTATTTATCTTTATCGTAGTAGGTACGAATAAGGCTATAGATGGTATGACTTATTGAACAAGAAGTGTTAATATTCATTGGATTATTATTTATTTGAGATATAGGTTTTTTTTAGATTATTATTAGCCACGCCATCCACAACAATCTATTTTTTTATTCTATATTTTTTTAAATTTTAATTTCTTATTGAAAGACAATTATTTTTATTCTTATTAATAAATTTTAATTGAATTTATGCTAATTCACTTTGATAAATCAGAAAAACCTTAGATGTAGAAAGGTGGAGTCTGTTAATCATACAATCTGTTTTGAAGTTTTAAATTTTATCATGTAAGTTGTATCCGAAGTACAAAATTATTACTACTTCTTATTGTGAGCATCGGCTATTATTTTAGTAATGCATTTACAATGATATTTATCCTAATTTAATACTAATTTTCAAATTTTACAGGTTCAGGACAATTGTTGTTTTTTATTCGTCTTGAAAAGCAAAATGAAGTAGCTTTGGAAATAATTTTGCAATTGAAATCACTCGGAGCCCCTGACAAATCTAGTGTTAATTGATAGAAGTTAATTATCTAAGGAAATTCATCCAATACCACAATAACTAGGTTTGAGTATCATTTTGCATTGAATTTTGTTAATTCAATCATTGCTTTTTGTATAAATCTTTTATCATTGATTTTCAATTATATTGATGTTCTTTTAACACTTTGCAGATTTAAATTTGCCCTCGACGTCATCGCACTTTGGATGAAATATGTTATTTATTTGATTTATATAAAACAATTAAACCCTAGATACTCAATGATTATTTTTTTTAACATTTTCTTTGAATTAAATATCAAATTCAATAAGACTTTGCATTTTATGATTCGAATGATTACTTGCATGCTAGCTTTCGTATGGATTAATATATTACAGTGCATGAGTAGTTCTAGTTTTAATAACACTAACAAATACTAACAAAATATACCATTTATTCTATTGTTAATTAATAATGTAATCGTTTGAATCATTAAAATAATGCAATGTGTATTTATCATTCAAAACACTTTTTATCACTGCTTTCAATTCATAAATTCGTTTTGTATACATCCAAGTGCGAATTCCAAACCGTTGTGACATCAACACACAATGTACAAAGACAAAAAAACTGTAGGAAGTGGAATGATCAAGTAATGTATGATAACTAGGTATATATTTTATTTATTTTATCAATTAATGATATATCATCTATTATGTATTCATCCATATAATATAACTAATGTTCGTTTTTTAATTAGATTCACTTCTCCACTACTGAACCACCAACTGCTATCATCAACCCAATCGACATCAAACAGTAAGCTCATATCAAGTATCTATCAGGCTGTATGTATCCTTTCTCAAACATTTTAAAAGATGTATTCTAACTTTTTGTTTTTTTTTTAATTACAGATTCACTTCTCCACTACTGAACCACCAACTGCTATCATCAACCCGACCGGCTTTCGACTCTAGTCAATCAACAGTAAGCTCATATCAAGTATCTATCAGGCTGTATGTATCCTTTCTCAAACATTTTAAAAGATGTATTCTAACCTTTTTTTTTTTTTAATTACAGATTCACTTCTCCACTACTGAACCACCAACTGCTATCATCAACCCGACCGGCTTTATCGACTCTAGTCAATCAAACAGTAAGCTCATATCAAGTATCTATCAGGCTGTATGTATCCTTTCTCCAACATTTTAAAAGATGTATTCTAACCTTTTGTTTTTTTTAATTACAGATTCACTTCTCCACTACTGAACCACCAACTGCTATCATCAACCCAACCGACTTCAAACAGTAAGCTCATATCAAGTATCTATCAGGCTGTATGTATCCTTTCTCAAACATTTTAAAAGATGTATTCTAACCTTTTTTTTTTTTTAATTACAGATTCACTTCTCCACTACTGAACCACCAACTGCTATCATCAACCCGACCGGCTTCAAACAGTAAGCTCATATCAAGTATCTATCAGGCTGTATGTATCCTTTCTCCAACATTTTAAAAGATGTATTCTAACCTTTTGTTTTTTTTTAATTACAGATTCACTTCTCCACTACTGAACCACCAACTGCTATCATCAACCCGACCGGCTTTATCGACTCTAGTCAATCAAACAGTAAGCTCATATCAAGTATCTATCAGGCTGTATGTATCCTTTCTCAAACATTTTAAAAGATGTATTCTAACCTTTTGTTTTTTTTAATTACAGATTCACTTCTCCACTACTGAACCACCAACTGCTATCATCAACCCAACCGGCTTCAAACAGTAAGCTCATATCAAGTATCTATCAGGCTGTATGTATCCTTCTCTCAACATTTTAAAAGATGTATTCTAACCTTTTGTTTTTTTTTTAATTACAGATTCACTTCTCCACTACTGAACCACCAACTGCTATCATCAACCCGACCGGCTTATCGACTCTAGTCAATCAAACAGTAAGCTCATATCAAGTATCTATCAGGCTGTATGTATCCTTTCTCAAACATTTTAAAAGATGTATTCTAACCTTTTGTTTTTTTTAATTACAGATTCACTTCTCCACTACTGAACCACCAACTGCTATCATCAACCCGACCGGCTTCAAACAGTAAGCTCATATCAAGTATCTATCAGGCTGTATGTATCCTTTCTCCAACATTTTAAAAGATGTATTCTAACCTTTTGTTTTTTTTTAATTACAGATTCACTTCTCCACTACTGAACCACCAACTGCTATCATCAACCCAACCGGCTTCAAACAGTAAGCTCATATCAAGTATCTATCAGGCTGTATGTATCCTTTCTCAAACATTTTAAAAGATGTATTCTAACCTTTTGTTTTTTTTTTTTAATTACAGATTCACTTCTCCACTACTGAACCACCAACTGCTATCATCAACCCGACCGGCTTTATCGACTCTAGTCAATCAAACAGTAAGCTCATATCAAGTATCTATCAGGCTGTATGTATCCTTTCTCAAACATTTTAAAAGATGTATTCTAACCTTTTGTTTTTTTTTAATTACAGATTCACTTCTCCACTACTGAACCACCAACTGCTATCATCAACCCAATCGCTTCAAAACAGTAAGCTCATATCAAGTATCTATCAGGCTGTATGTATCCTTTCTCAAACATTTTAAAAGATGTATTCTAACCTTTTGTTTTTTTTAATTACAGATTCACTTCTCCACTACTGAACCACCAACTGCTATCATCAACCCGACCGGCTTCAAACAGTAAGCTCATATCAAGTATCTATCAGGCTGTATGTATCCTTTCTCAAACATTTTAAAAGATGTATTCTAACCTTTTGTTTTTTTTAATTACAGATTCACTTCTCCACTACTGAACCACCAACTGCTATCATCAACCCAACGGCCGACTCTAGTCAATCAAACAGTAAGCTCATATCAAGTATCTATCAGGCTGTATGTATCCTTTCTCAAACATTTTAAAAGATGTATTCTAACCTTTTGTTTTTTTTTAATTACAGATTCACTTCTCCACTACTGAACCACCAACTGCTATCATCAACCCAACCGGCTTTATCGACTCTAGTCATCAAACAGTAAGCTCATATCAAGTATCTATCAGGCTGTATGTATCCTTTCTCAAACATTTTAAAAGATGTATTCTAACCTTTTGTTTTTTTTAATTACAGATTCACTTCTCCACTACTGAACCACCAACTGCTATCATCAACCCAACCGGCTTATCGACTCTAGTCAATCAAACAGTAAGCTCATATCAAGTATCTATCAGGCTGTATGTATCCTTTCTCAAACATTTTAAAAGATGTATTCTAACCTTTGTTTTTTTTAATTACAGATTCACTTCTCCACTACTGAACCACCAACTGCTATCATCAACCCAACTTTATCGACTCTAGTCAAACAGTAAGCTCATATCAAGTATCTATCAGGCTGTATGTATCCTTTCTCAAACATTTTAAAAGATGTATTCTAACCTTTTGTTTTTTTTAATTACAGATTCACTTCTCCACTACTGAACCACCAACTGCTATCATCAACCCAACTTTATCGACTCTAGTCAATCAAACAGTAAGCTCATATCAAGTATCTATCAGGCTGTATGTATCCTATCTCAAACATTTTAAAAGATGTATTCTAACCTTTTGTTTTTTTTAATTACAGATTCACTTCTCCACTACTGAACCACCAACTGCTATCATCAACCCAACCGGCTTTATCGACTCTAGTCAATCAAACAGTAAGCTCATATCAAGTATCTATCAGGCTGTATGTATCCTTTCTCAAACATTTTAAAAGATGTATTCTAACCTTTTGTTTTTTTAATTACAGATTCACTTCTCCACTACTGAACCACAACTGCTATCATCAACCCAACCGACTTCAAACAGTAAGCTCATATCAAGTATCTATCAGGCTGTATGTATCCTTTCTCAAACATTTTAAAAGATGTATTCTAACCTTTTTTTTTTTTTAATTACAGATTCACTTCTCCACTACTGAACCACCAACTGCTATCATCAACCCAACCGACTTCAAACAGTAAGCTCATATCAAGTATCTATCAGGCTGTATGTATCCTTTCTCAAACATTTTAAAAGATGTATTCTAACCTTTTGTTTTTTTTTAATTACAGATTCACTTCTCCACTACTGAACCACCAACTGCTATCATCAACCCAACCGGCTTCAAACAGTAAGCTCATATCAAGTATCTATCAGGCTGTATGTATCCTTTCTCAAACATTTTAAAAGATGTATTCTAACCTTTTGTTTTTTTTTAATTACAGATTCACTTCTCCACTACTGAACCACCAACTGCTATCATCAACCCAACCGGCTTCAAACAGTAAGCTCATATCAAGTATCTATCAGGCTGTATGTATCCTTTCTCAAACATTTTAAAAGATGTATTCTAACCTTTTGTTTTTTTTAATTACAGATTCACTTCTCCACTACTGAACCACCAACTGCTATCATCAACCCAACCGGCTTTATCGACTCTAGTCAATCAAACAGTAAGCTCATATCAAGTATCTATCAGGCTGTATGTATCCTTTCTCAAACATTTAAAAGATGTATTCTAACCTTTTGTTTTTTTTTAATTACAGATTCACTTCTCCACTACTGAACCACCAACTGCTATCATCAACCCAACCGGCTTTATCGACTCTAGTCAATCAAACAGTAAGCTCATATCAAGTATCTATCAGGCTGTATGTATCCTTTCTCAAACATTTTAAAAGATGTATTCTAACCTTTTGTTTTTTTTAATTACAGATTCACTTCTCCACTACTGAACCACCAACTGCTATCATCAACCCGACCGGCTTTATCGACTCTAGTCAATCAAACAGTAAGCTCATATCAAGTATCTATCAGGCTGTATGTATCCTTTCTCAAACATTTTAAAAGATGTATTCTAACCTTTTGTTTTTTTTTTTTAATTACAGATTCACTTCTCCACTACTGAACCACCAGCTGCTATCATCAACCCAACCGGCTTTATCGACTCTGATTAGACTGTAATCGTTCATGAAGGATCAGTCGTAAATAAACGTCTCTATGCTTGAGCTGGAACACTAAATTATGCACAAGTGGTTCTTTTTGTAACTGTTTAATCTTATGCATGTTCTTACCAGTAGTTTTACTAACTCATTAACAATACTAACATTTTACTAACGTAGTTTCATCAGTTGCTATAAAAACCACTTGTTGCAGTTTACGCATTGGGACATAGTGAAACTGCTCAGAAGATAACACTCGGTGAGTTACTTTTTATAAAGTATTATAGTAGTCTGAATTATTATTAATTACATGCTTTTGTTCACAGGGTAAACAATGACTGCTTCAGGATGCTCACACACCTGCCTGCATTGAACCTATCTTGCTGTCAGAAACATTAACTCAATGGTGTTCCTAGAGAAGATACACACATCAGCTGCGTTCAATCAAGGCTTACGACTTGGATACTTATAATATATTCATCTAATTATTAAATAAACACATTGTTTTATTAGTTCAATTTGTTGTTTGAATTCTCATTAATGCTTTACTTATAATATATTACTTAAATTATATGAATATTTTGAATTATTTTGATGTCATAGGTATAATAGAAGAATGTCATCCGTCAGTTGTGATAAATCAAGACAAAGTGAACTGATTGGCAACCGATTGGCTCCATTGTGGAGATTGCGGATACAGCAGTTCGGATATTAAAACTTTCGTTGTGCAAAGAAATATAAGTATTAAAATATTTTTATACTTGATATTTATACTTAAGAATTATGTTAAATAATTTTAGTTTTATAGGCTTATTTGACGAAACTTTAGGCGGTCTTCTGAATGATTTGCACTCTGGTCTCACTTCACTTGAACGTCTTGCATTTTGGTCTCATCTTGCTCGAATAGCCTGCGGCCTGGTCTTGTACTTGTAAAGCCCCTGGTCTCTGTACTCATACCCTGGTGTCTCTGTACTTTTACCCTGGTGTCTCTGTACTTTTACCCTGGTGTCTCTGTACTTTTACCCTGGTGTCTCTGTACTTTTACCCTGGTGTGTCTCCTGTACTTTTACCCTGGTGTCTCCGTACTTTTACCCTGGTGTCTGTCTCTGTACTTTTACCCTGGTGTCTGTCTCTGTACTTTTACCCTGGTGTCTCTGTACTTTTACCCTGGTGTCTCCGTACTTTTACCCTGGTGTCTCTGTACTTTTACCCTGGTGTCTCTGTACTTTTACCCTGGTGTCTCTACTTTTACCCTGGTGTCTCTGTACTTTTACCCTGGTGTCTCTTTACTTTTACCCTGGTGTCTCTTTACTTTTACCCTGGTGTCTCCGTACTTTTACCCTGGTGTCTCCGTACTTTTACCCTGGTGTCTCCGTACTTTTACCCTGGTGTCTCCGTACTTTTACCCTGGTGTCTCTGTACTTTTACCCTGGTGTCTCTGTACTTTTACCCTGGTGTCTCTGTACTTTTACCCTGGTGTCTCTGTACTTTTACCCTGGTGTCTCTGTACTTTTACCCTGGTGTCTGTCTCTGTACTTTTACCCTGGTGTCTCCGTACTTTTACCCTGGTGTCTGTCTCTGTACTTTCACCCTGGTGTCTGTCTCTGTACTTTTACCCTGGTGTCTCTGTACTTTTACCCTGGTGTCTCTGTACTTTTACCCTGGTGTCTCTGTACTTTTACCCTGGTGTCTTACGCCCATGCATTTGCCCTCCTATGGTTTCTTGCCTCTTGATTTGTATTCATGTAAATTGTTCACTATTTTGTTCAAATAGTTTCATATTTAGTTTATAGTATTTTAATTATTGTACAATATTGTTTTATTACAATATTAATTAATTTCTCTTACAGGGTTGTATCCAGTTGCTAATTCGACTAGTGATGCTCCGAAACTTTATCATGGATGGCTGGAACACTCATTCCCAAAAAC